CCGTTTGTGTGGTCTAACCACAACAAACATATCAAAAACACAAATGAAAGAGGGAGGGAGATGATAGGTTATTATGGTTTTAGCAAAGACGAATTTTTAAATGACTTATTTATAAAAAAAGAGTAGCTTCAGATCTCAAAAATTGCATATGTGTTTCAAATCATTTGACTCCAAATGAATTAATAATAGGTGTCTTTCATTAGGTCCCATTCAAATGCAATTGGTCAAGGACAATTTCTTCTAAATAAAAATATATACAAAAATGATTTTATAATATTATAAAATTATATTCAAGATATTTTACATTTCTAAAATGTATAAAAATTTGAATTCAATTCAAGATATGAAACTAAAACTTAAAAAGAACATAAACTAAAGTTCAATTATTCATAGAAATAAACTAAAACTATTTTCATAAAATATTCAAAAAATTAAAAAAAAAACTAATATTAACCATTAATGACTTCAACATTTCTTTTTGATGAAGAAATAATCCGCCGTACGTCCAAAGGATAATTTTGACTGTTTTGGATATGTGCTCAGTTGATTACAAATGAGCTCTAATGTTTCTTCATACGATTCAATATCTTCATCCTCAATGACTTGTAATAGATTACAGTTTTCAATCCAAAACGATGGTAAGTTACGATCGCAAAAGTTCATACAAAGGGCGGTTAACATCTAAAATAAAAAAGAATACGGTCCATTATTAGAATTTGTGCACTGAATTTGAATTTGATTGAATTTGTGAGCCGGAGTTCAGGAAATAAAACTGCAGGGAAAAACATTAAAATAGCGTAATAGAGGCCCAGGGTACTCCAGAGATTTTTTTGTTTTAAAAGGTGTTATTGTTGCCAATCCGTGCCGTAAATCCTCAAATACCAAATCGTTGTTTGTACCGTTGTATGGGGACTATACCAAATAACGAAAATTAGCGGGTATCCCTATACGGCGACTATATCGAAATGTGGGCCGATATTTATAATAATTGGTATGAAGATTTACTACCCAATTAGAAGCCAAAATCTAAAATTAGAGTACAATCGGTTGAAAAACTTTCAGGAAATCTTCAAATTGCCGAATATTGGGGCTACCGTTATATGGGAGCTATACCAAAAAGTGAACCGATATTGATCATTTTTGGTGGAAAATTTTCCAACCTAATGAGAAACCAACTTACCAAATTTCAGCCAAATCGGTTGAATAATGTGCCGAAAATCCTCAAAAAAAAAAAAAAAAGAAAATTAGGGAGTACCCTTATATGTGGACTATACCAGAATGTGGACCGATATTGTTAATTTTTGATATAGAGATTTTCTACCCAATGCGAACCCAAAATATCAAATTTCAGCCCATTCGGTTGAAAATGTGTCTCAAATTTTCAAAACAAGGAAAATTAGGCGGGTACCATTATATGAGGGCTGGACCAATATTAATTATTTTTAGTTAAAAAGATTTACCATCCAATGAGAATTGAAAATATAAAAATATAGTCATTTCGTTAAAAAAAAAAACATGTCAATATAACTTCAAAATAACCAAAAATGGTGGATACCATTAACTTATACCAAAACGTGGAGCGGTATAACCAATTTTTAATACCAAACATCCTAGGAGAAGTAGCTAACTAAGTGCAATGTTTAATAGTTTCATCTTTTATATTGCGATGTTTCTCTCTCTCTCTTTGGATTTAAGCAGACAGGCTTGGTAAAATCATTTATTTAAAGAACAGATCTCTAGGAGGTGTTATAGGCACCAAAAACTCTATATTTTATGTTATTTAGATTGAATAGTCTTATCAACTTTCTTAAGAATCGAAAAGGATCCCTGACTCTTCTAAATAATGGTATTATTAAATAGAAAAAATAACACAAATTTTAATAAAAAAAATATGATTATACAAATACTTACATAATTTAGTATAGTTTCCAGGGAACCATTTACAAATTTCACTCCCGCCTTTTTTACCATCCATAACATTGCATTCGTTAGCATATAATCGCGAAGTTCATGTAAGCCATGTTTATCGCGCAGCGAACACAGCAAACGAAACACCGATTTCAGCTGTTCCCTTGACCACAACAATTCATGCTCGGCCATTGGATTTGTCATAAGAAAGGTATACTCGTGGGTACGTTGAGGCCTTACAATTACCGATTCTATCGGCTGCGCTTGACAACTGTAGTAATAATCAACTTTATACATGGTCTTTGAATGCTTTTTCATCCAATCAACTTTGCCAAATGCGATAACTGGACGAAAATCTATGCCCATCATACGCACTTGATTCGAACGTTCGTAGACGGTTAGCATGTGTGTATCACCGAATCGTTTGTACATTATTTCATAGGGAAATTTATGTCCCGATGTCATCAATGTCTTATTAATAATTTGACATATCCAAAGGTGTAGAGATTCCCGTTTAAGATAGGCCGTTTTCGAATCAACCAAATTGCTAAGCACTATGAAGATGTCCGTGCAACGTGAATCGGCGACAGCCAATTGATTGAGTACATCGTACATATCAAGATGTATAAATCCACGACGATCATTATCCAAGCCCAGTTGCATGGGGAATGGAAATTCCAGTATGCAAAAAATTTCAAATTCATTAGTTTTGAAATCGCCATTCCAATCGCTGTTACCGACTAGGGAAAGAGAAATGCAAATAACTTAGGCGAAATATATTATTTGGATATTGTGTATCACTTACCGTATGGTGATAGACCGACACACAGCTTGTCAAAAACTGTGTCAATTTTACGCATTTCTTCAAGTAACCAGGTTGTTACCTTTTGCTGAAATTTAACATGGTTATTACGTTCGTTGAGATTTGGGGCCAGAGCATTATCAATATCACGTAAGTGTTCTTCAAAAGGCGACATTTTGTAAAACCTAAATGAAATTGGAATATCTGTATGAGAAATTATTGGGAATTTCATTCAAAGATTATGTCATTGAAATGAAGTTGAAATCAAAACGGCAAAAATAACGCTGTTAAAAGATGCAGGAGATCCAAAATAGCACCTTCGGAATTTTAATAGGTATTCCCAAGGAAAATGAAATGGAAAATGTATACTAAAAAGGCTTCCAATATTTGGAGGAAATTACTTCTTGATAATTCAGTTACCATGTGTTAAAAAAATTAAAACATCGCTAACGGCATCGGCGCTAAAAGCCTGCAGCTCATTTCCAAAGTATGCAAGCAAAATCAACATTTATTACTATAATTTAAAGGCCCTAAAAGGTGAAAGAAATGTTCAACGCAGACCCCATAATGAATATATTCTTGCATATCTGATGCCCAGAAAAAAATCCTAGTTTCAGGCTGGGAGTGTTTTGTAACACTTGACTTTTGAGGTCCAGCCTACCAAAAAGACTTATTGAGCTTCATCTAACAATAAGAATGCCGTACAATTATCACCTGAGCTCCAGCTGTTTTTACAGATTCTCTAATCTTCTGTAGCTTGATTAAATCATCCTAATGTCGATAAAGACCGCTGAGATCACTAGATTATAAGGATGTCATACTCGCTGAGCTTCAGTTTGCCTACAGATATTTCTTATGTTAAACAACAAAAACACAAACTGATATGAAAACTTACACTTTCTGATTCAGGAAAATATTCTCCACAATTCCACAGCGAATAAAAAATTAGTTTTAAAATATTTAAAATTTTCACAAAAAAAATCCAAAACGATTTGGTGGTTCAAATGATAGATTCACTAAAATGAAAAGGCAGCTTCTCGCACTCTCTCTCTCTTTTTAATCAGAGAGAATGATATTGAGAGCTTCGTGAATCTGGATCACATCATGTGATATTTTTTGCAAACTTTTATTTAATAATCTTGAAAACCAAAATTTTAAAATTGGTCCATGTTAAGCTCCAAAAAAATTTAATGAAAAAGACATTTTACATGGAGAAGGGAATCTGGCCAAAGAATAAGCATGACTGTTTTGATAAAGATCGGTTAATATATAGCGGCTCAAAAGTGCCACGGTAAGAAAGAGGAGCTGTTGAAAAAAAAAAATAAAATTCACATTAACGAGTCTATAAATGGTGAAAAACAGGTCAATAGAGAATGAAGAAATATTCTTTATTTGATATAAAATCTCGCTTATCTCGTATATAGGTGGTAGAAAATTTCTTCAAAAAATCCTCAGTTATGAATTATTTAAAGGAATTAAAAAACCCCGCTGATTGGTCTATACACGATTAAAAAAAACTTAAAAGGGTGGTCGAAAAAGAACACTTACAAAAATCCAAGCGTATGGATCCATAGATATTTAAAAAAATAAAATATACACTTACAGGTGTATAGAGGGAGTAAAAATCTACGATTGTGTTTATAGATGGTTGAACAAAACAAAAAAAAAAAAAAATACATCAAAAAATCTATGATTATGGGTCTATAGGTGATTTAAGAAAATACTTCACACCTATGGGTTCCTAGAAAATTCTCAAAAACTGTATGCTTATAGATCTATAGATGATTGAAAAAATCCACTATTCTAGAATCTATAGAAAAATTCATTTAAAAAACTACGCTTTTGGGTCCATAGATGACTGAAAAACATTTCATAAGAAAATACCTTTAAAAAAAAAATCTACTATTATGGATCAATAGAGGGTTGACATTTTTCTTTTCAAAAAAATCCCAGCTTATCGGTCCACATATAGTTAAAAACTACATATTAAAAACTACATTTTAAAAACTACATATTTAAAAGTATACTCTTAGAGGTACATGGAGGCTAAGAAAAAATCGTTTAAATGCCCATCCACGCATTGGGGTCTATATTATTCTTTTATTAGCTTATTAGGTTAATAAAAAAATAACAATTTTTTATATACACTTCCTAACCCCCCACCTGCTGAAGATAAACTAGTTACGAATTTTATTGTTTTATTTTTTTTATATTGAAAATAATTCATTACATGCATATATAGATTGTACATATATATATTTTTAATGTATTATTACAAATCAAAGCAATACTATTCAGTGTCGTAGTAGTCATAGTCTGTTTCCGAATCATCTTCATATTCCGTTTCCGAATCATAGTCCGTTTCATAAGGTACATCAAAAAATGATTCTACAGTATCATATGACAAATTTGGTCGTTCTAAGAATGTTTTCATTGTTCGATATGCATCGTTTAATTCCTGTGTATATCTGCGTTTTTGATGGGGCTTTAGAATATCCAACAGATTACATCCACTATGCCAAAAATATGAGAGTTTGCCGTTATTGAAACAATTGCAGAGTTGCCATAACATCTAGAAGAAAAAAAACAATAACAATAAATAAATTTGGAAATTTAACATTATTTTTAATTTGATGGCACTACTTACATAAGTAAATAAATATCCGATTGGCTTCCGCCAGAATTCCAACGGTTGTTTGTCCACTTCCCATAACAGTAGATGGGTTATAAAACAACTTTTCAGGCGATTCAATTCCAATTTATCCCGCAACGACTTAAGTAGACGCATAACGGGCTTCAGATTTTGTTTATCCCATAAAATATTTTGTTCGGAAGTTGGATTAACCATCATAAAGGTGCATGCAAAAGTCCGACGCGGTCGATATGATCCTCGTTTAGCAACAGCCATAAAATTACAAAAATCACTGTCATCATATGCAGTGGCATCGTAACGAACTTGCATCCAACTGTGTTTGCCCAGCTTTATAGCGGGCACAACATCAATTGAAATGTATACATCTTGATAATTAAGATCCTTTATGTATAGATTAAAGGCCACCGCATGTCTCTGGAAGACAACTGATAAACCTTTATCGAAGAAATACCCTTTGCAACGTTCTACAGCCTGTTCGATCAAATCGAACATCCATTCTTTGAAAGCTGCTGTACTAAGACATCCGGTTCGCCAATCAACAATTTGTTCCAGCAAATCGTACAATTCCCTATTATTGTAGTCATTTCGAATGGTGTTCATTGTTGTGGTCATTGGGAAATGTACAAAACCGGGACGAGAGCTATCCGGGCGGGCATTTAATGCAAATGGAAATTTGAGAACAATAAATATGTCAAATTCGCTAGGAGATAAGAGACGAACGCCATTACTGTAGCTACCTGCAACGAACAGAAACATATAAACACGCACATAAATAGCAAAGAAATAGAATTAGAAAAATCTACAAATGTAAGAAAAAATTGTTCAAAAATCTGAGTAATAATTCTTTAAAAAATCTACGTGTATTTTTGAATCAAAATGACGTTATAGGGAAATATATATATATATTTTTTTGAAAAGTGGGAGACTCGAAAATCGAGATAGACCTATGGTTCCTTCACCAAATTGCTTAGAATTGTCTATAGAATCATCCTAGCGGCTGGATTTAATCGACAAAAAAATTGACCCGCCCTAATGTGTATACTATATATTGTTAAGTTTATGGGTTTATCCTTACCCCATGTAGATGTTGTTTTATTCCCCGATATTCTGTATCAAATAAAACACAGATCCTTACCGATTACGATGACTACAATGCTTTATTGGCACCAATTTATTTCAAAGCTAAACGTTACTGACGGTCGGTTTCAATTCCGTACATCCGTAACAATATATTAAAACTTACCAAATAACTCCTCGCCTCGGTGTAGCCGTTTAAAAACCTTATCAATACATTCCATTTCTACGACCAAAGTATAAATGACGTCGAAAAATGTATCTGTATACAGCTCCCGATCAGATTTGTTTAGATTGATGCAAGAGTCAATATATTGTAAGTGTTGATCATAAATCGTCATATTGAATGGATTGCTGCTATTTTCAAACTGAAATTATAAAAAATAAAAATGTATTAAATAGATGGAAAATTTGATATTTAGGAAGGCTGAAGCGAATTGAAAATTCGAATTGTCGCCAACTTGTTAAGCGGTTTAATTTTTTATCGGTTTTATCTATAGAAGGGCTGAAGAGCTTATAGTCTAGCAAGTCTCAGAAGATCTCAAGATGTTTTCTCTAGTAGTATGTGAGGAGGTATTCCATAGATAGGTTTTAATTGGTTTTGTTCCATAAAATAGACGATCGTCTAAAAGAAGAATTTCTCTTAAAAAGCCGATCTTCAGTTGAAAAATCCTTTTAAAATGGGAAATTTTGGTAATATCTGAAAGGAGTCGATTAATTTGCTTGTTTATTCAATAAATCCCAAGATGTGGCCTATTGGGGCACTCAATATGGTACCTTCCCCTCAACCATTTTGAAAATTAATAAATCTCTTTGAAAGCTATGCTCGAGTTCGAAACTATGGGCCAGAATATTATGATTGTGTTAGACACAAGCCAGGTTGGTTCCCTGTCCCATATCACAATCGATTTTCTATATGCTTCAATCCTGGACACTTATATTCCTGGACACGTGTGAGCTTCTCTATACACCTTGGCAGTCCATCGAATGCCACTTTTCTGCTTCTGTTTTCTGTACTGGTGTTGTTAATTGTCATGGCCTTAGTATTAATCTCAAGTCCAGTATTGCGAGCCGGTATCTCCAGGTCTTTGTACATGTGTCAGATGTATTGTGAGAAACATGAGAGACGCCATGTTATGACCCTTCACTGAGAGCAGACGACTTCATTTATTATTTCATCCAGAACATTATGAAGAGTAGGGTGACAGAGGTGCTTAATGCTTTCCATATGACAGTTCGCCTGATGGTATCGATCAAATATTTCTATCCTACAGGTCTGTTCTATATACGAATTTATTTGTGTTGGTAGGTAAGAATAAGATAAGTCCAACGTCACTTTTTACATGTTTAAATTTTAGGTCACAGGACCTCCATATATTTTTTGATTAACCAAATGCTTATGTCCATCACATAGTCCCCCTCGTCCATACTGCCCAGCTAAGGCACCTAAAAAAACGAAAGTCTGCAACAACTATATATTTGACATCATATCGCCTATAGGTTCCCTCTTCTTCTTCTTCTTGTTTGTTTTTTGTGTTTTTATAAATGGTACCTATCGACGGCATACTCTGCTGCTTCTCCGCTGCGTATCTAGGCTCTCTCGCACTTTACTCATCCCCTCATACCTCCTCCTCGTTTCACATGAAATAGATGACAATAATAACGGCAACTGTTCTGGTTACACAAAACAAAAACATCGACAGCAACAACAAAAACTCGGTATAGTGCAATGCCAGCGCCCACCATCAATAACAAAACAAGAACGAACACGTTAACAGCACCAGAAGCAGTGGCAGCGACAGCAGCATTTACACACATTTGTTGTTCTCACAGAAGAAAAACAGTGAGAGCGCCAACCAACAACACATACAAGGAGGAGCATGAGGAGACGAAGGAGGAATAGACAGATGGACGAGAGTCTCTTCTAGTAACAAAAACAACAAAAACGACGACAACGTTCATTTCACAAACGATTGGGGGACGATTTTGTGTATGGGGTGGGACGGCAGGCCGGCAGTCGTCAGGAGGGGAATTGCGACGAGCGCAAAAACAGGCAACTTAGTTGTTGGTACTGAGAAGAAAACTAAACAACAACAAAAACAAAAAGAAGAACATCAAATAACGCCAGCAAGAACTGCCATGACTGTGGTGGTGACAGACAGGCTATGTCAGGCAGCAGAGTTAGACGTTAACGATGGCCAAAGCGTTCTGTAGCAAACAAACAAAGCTCAAAAAAGAAAGAAAAAGAAACAAAGACACGGTAAACAAAACAAAAAATCGCAAAGAAACTAAAAGCAAAAATAAAACCAAAACCATAATAATAAACAACGGCCGTAAAGTCGACGAGAACGTTTGCTGGCCTGCCCATCACACTCATTGATGGCGGCCGTAGTGCGGACGAAGACTACGAAATTGATGTGAACTAAAAAATGAAAATGGCCACAACAAGCGACAAAATAACCCACCAACAGTCAAGTCCATCTAAGTGGAGGAGGGCGAGTAACAACAACAATCCCTCAATTTACGTTGAGACGCATACCATGGCTTATTGTAGAAATAGAGCTACCTCTAACTCTTTGAACAGAGGAAGGGTAACAGGCAATTCGATGACTCCGAACAGCTTCTTTAACAACATCGCCATCAGTTCCATCATTACCAAAAGCGATGTTTGCGGCAAGGAATATCTATCTCATTTGATGAGAGCACAACAATACCTAATTATATTGTATAAAATACAAAGTATAAGAGCGAACGATAGCACTGCCATCTGTTGACAAACAACATCTGCTATACCAATTGTCAATGGTTGTGATCTTTGCTAGAGGCTAGCGATGATACTTTGCATGAAATGAAGCACGAGTAACAATTGAGAAAAGGCATCACACGTAATACTTCACTTCACACCCTGCGTTGCATGGTACAAAAACAGCCGGAGGTAGTACAGTATTTCGTACCGAAATGAGACTGAGATAGTAACCACTCGGTTTACTATAAAAAGTTGGTGGATGGTGCCTTTGGATGACGCTGGCAGCAATTGAGCTTACCTTAGATTAGATAAACCCATTCGTTTTAAATGGTCTCTATATATATACCTTTATAAAATATAGGTTTCAGATCCAAAATTCGTTTAAGACCGGGGTCTAGTTCTTCTGTTTCACCCCTTCCTCAATCCCATGGCAGCCAGTTCTATAAAGCGGGTTGACTCAGAAGAACAACTCTCCAAATACAAGTTTGTGTATTTTTTAACGTGGAATACTAGCCGGAATATTTGCTCGGGATTCGTCTGGAGCGAACCGGAATAGAGGCAAACCCCGAACCATTGTCCTCCTCATAGGCCATTATCGGCTATGTTATGTTCTTGTTCCGGTTTTAGCCGGTACAAGAGTATTGCGGAAGGGACTACATTGCATCGTGCAATACCAATGAGAACCCCAGCGAGCCGTATTGATAAACATCAGATTACGTATCATCCCCGCAAACTCTGCAACTGCGATCTGCCGCTAACACCGCACATTGTTATCACAACTTCGGATGCCTCATTTTCGCAATACAACTCCGAGGGAAAGACATTGAGATAGTGGATTTTAAAAGTCGAATAGGTTTAATGGTCCCAGCGATTGCAGAACCGAAACTCTTTTGCAGTCTTCAGAGTTGTGATGGATACAACGTTTTAAAGAGGTATCGTATGAGAAATGATGATGGCTACTTAGCATGAATGAATTGAGGTAGCGGTCAATAATTGTACTGCAGAGGTTGTGGTACTTAACATTAATATATTCCATCTTTAAATAGCCGAGTGATCATCTTTTGGAAGGCACAAATATCTGGTGCTAGGGGATTTTCAATTTCCATCATGAATTATGACATGATCATAGGGATATGGTGCTAGCCGAGCAAATTTATAACTCAACATATTGCACGGTGAATGAGGATATTACCACTGCTACCAAAGCTCAACGGTCATATGCAGGTCTGACGAGTGACGTAACTTGGCAATCATTCATTTCATTGGAGGTCAGACCAACTCTATATTTCATACCCATTACTGAACATCCAGACTTCATAACCTCTGAACGCCATTCTTTCCTTAAGTTTGGGAAAACAATTGAAAAAAGTTTAGAATTTCAGATTCGAATCCTTTAGATTCTGTGGGTAGCAGAAATGAATTTCGGGTCATCATTACAGCTACAGCCGTAGGGGCCTCCTTTAGATTCTGTGGTTAGCAGAAATGAATTCAAATCGAATAATCATTGTCAGAGAATATTTATTGTGACGCTGGATTTTTGAAAGGCATTTGATACTGTCAGTCACGCCAGGACGTCGAACGAACTACTCTCCAGTCAAATTTGAAACAGTGGTTCGTAAATATGGGAACAGAAATAAGGAGTCAAAGACGAGTATATAGCTAAATAGAGTTTTGAGTAATCTCTACCTTTCTGAAATTTGGTATTGCGACTTCTTGGAGGGTGAAAAATAGGTCAATGTTTTGGCAACCCAATAGGCTGGAATTTTTTGAAATTGCGGGATTTTGAAGGAAGAAAATCATTTTAGGTCAATGTTTTGACTACCAGACTTCGACACTGAAGCTCTGATCAAACCATTATTCGAAATGATGTTGATCTCTGGACAAGTTTTTGCTTATTAAAATAGATCTGACCTTCGATTGACCACTGTGCTACCAACTTTTTTTAATTTTAGTTTTTTTTTTCTTTAGGTTCCTCACCTATACATTTAAACACACAAGCATCCCTACTGCATGTCGCCAATCTTTGCAAGAGCAAAGCTATCACCGTACGTTACATACAAACATATACATGGAATACAGCAACAAGATATTGTACATACATATATGTCATAATATACATATATACATACGAGCGAACTTATATATTGCCGTTGTTGTTATTTTCCTAGTGGTTCTTTTCATAGAGAGCACCACCACCTTCAGCAGCAGCAACGTCAGCGGCATCAGCAGTCGCATAGTCAGTCGACTATCCAGCCAGCCAGAGTTACTGAAAGAATGAACGACCGAACGAGTGAACAATTGAATGTCAATAAAACACAACGACAGTCCGAACGAACGACCAACCGACCGACTGACTGACAGGCAGACTAAACGAGCGAACGAACGACATACAAACTAACGAGAAAACCGTGCTAAAATCATGCCACTCACTGAAAAATATCCTCGTCGTTTGTATCACCACCTCCTCCCTCACACACACACAAGTACACATAGCCTACACTTTATGTATGTATATACGAACATGCAGAGAAAACTACACGGGGCTCCCGCATAAGCCTCCCCCCACCTTCCGCCCCTTCCCTTTGCATACTTCCAACGTTAGCAAAACCATCAGCCAGCCAGGCAAGCAGTCATCACATCCAAGACAACCATCCACACACACATTTTTACATACATACAGACACACTCGCACAAACAGTTTTGCTGACTGCCTGCGACACTGCCTTACATACATTCATCCATCGACATTCACGACAAAGCTGGCGACCAACAACAACGACGACGACTACAACGACCAAAAGCAGTCACAGCTCTACTCCATCTATCCATCCAGCCAGCCATTCAAGCAACCAACCAACCCGCCAGGCAGCTAGCACAGCAACAACATCACGGCCTGACTGCCTGCCACTTTGCCTGCAATGGAAGGGAACAAACCGCTGTGCTAGGCTGCCTGACTGACTGACTGTAGCTGTTACGTTGTTGTACTCAGAGGAGATAAGTTGTGAGAGTATCAACAGCAATACCCACCAGCAACAACAACACCAACAAGACTGCCGTACGAACAACAACGAACGACGTCGACTACGTCTCGCTGAACTGACGTTCAAAAAACATTCTTTGTGCGAAAACTCAAACGCACAGATGAACACACCGTTCGAACGAACGAACGAACGACGACGACATCGACGATGGCAACAACACTAACAAGCTTTTGTTGTTGTTTTTTATATATATACATTGGTTTGTGTGTGTGTATGTACGTTTGAGCGTGTGTGTGCGCGCGTTTGAAGCTGTTATTTTTGTGAATTCCATTTTGTGTTCTCCATTCGCTTTTGCCCATCTATCCAGCCAGCCTTCTGCCGTCGCGCCGCCTGCCTGCCTGCCAGCCAGCTTTCCTGACAGTTTTTATGCCGGCCGCCACATCTATCCCCCATCCACATTTAGCAGCCACAATAGACCGCACACCCAATCTCCAACAACCAAGAAGGGCGGCAGAGGACGACTGAACGGAAAATAAAACAACATGTGGAAATACAAAAAAAAAATCGGTGGATACTAAAACGGAGCTCTTAGTGAGCTCCACCGCCCCTGGGAAATACCCCAGTTGTAATACCCATCAAAACGCCCTATTTTTCTAAAATTTCCGAAATTTATATCAAAAATTCAGTGTCGAGGTCATTTCAGCATCCTCCTATCTCTATTTCTCTTTCGTTAGGGTATAATTTCTCTACGAGGACTTAGTCCATTTGTCATTGGTGCAATGCAGCAGCATCAACAGGTGTCATTTGAATAATTTTGAAAAATGTCATTTACAAAGACAAAATCAATAAAATCAGGATAATAACAACAACAACAACGACAAAACGGATATGAAATGATGATCCATAATTAAATACACTATTGCTCATTCGTATAGGTGAACTTATAAATTAAATACAAGTACGATGAAAACGGATCAATTGAAATTTCATCTGGCACTTAAATGGCGATACTAGAATTAAATCCGACCTATTTTTCGATACGAAACTAGGAATCGAAAAAACCGATATTTATTTGAAGTCTGTTGAATTTTTTATTTATGAGTTATAACATCTTGAGTCAAGACCAATAAGCTACCTGATATAAGTTTGTACACAGTTAGACCAAAAAAGGAGTGCTGCCTGAGAGGGTTCGTAATTAAAAAAAAAAATATTGC